TCAGGTCAAAAAAGTCAAGATGGCAACTGCAACCACACAATGAAACTGCCATCTTGACTTTTTTGACCTCACTCCACATATGCTTCTATGGTATTACTGTGGCAACAGATGTAACTCCACATCCCTGCCATTTTGCTAACTTAATTTTTTTTAAAAAAAAATCTGATTAGGAGAGCTCCCTAATATGTTATCTAAATCCCCAAATGCTCGTGTTGCCTTTTTAAAAAATTTTTTAAAGTCTGGGGATGGATGAATGAGTGAATCAATGAAATTATTTCCATTCCATTTATAGTAAAGTTTGCAAAGTTTAATAAGTGCTTCAAAACACATAAACACACATATAGCCGGATAGAATTCTCTGCATTAGCTAAAAACCATGAACCCAGCTTGAAAAAAATCATATTGTTTATATACTAATGCAGTGCATCAGAAAGAAAAGATGACGGCCCTAATTCGCCACCATAAACGTGGCTGAAGACATTCGAAGATATACTTTTAAGAGCTCTTTGCTTGGATGAATGAATCTGTCACTTCTCTTTTCTCCCACTCAAATTGTTTCTGGCCCAGGAATACCAACCAGACATGATGTTCACCTTTCTCAAGTGGTATCAATCAAAAGCATCTCATCCCTCAACAAGGCCCAGAATTGAGTGGGTTAGTAGCTATCTACACTTTTAACTCGGGAGCGCTCTCTTACTTTTTAAAAATATGTTTTACTATGGCAACAGATTATATGTCAAGCAAGGCTACAATGGCAATAAACCTTCTCATGCTTGCATGAATGCAGAATAATATTGAGCTGTGGCAATGAGAACACAACATGAGGTCTCGGGACATATGTAGGCCTCAAAGCTTTGACCCTTCAAAGTTGCCTCCAAATTGTGTGGTTCAAGTAATTATGAGATATACACATTAATTGTAATTTATATTTAATTTAAACATAAAACTAAATCAAAGTTTGGGTTTTTTTTCCCTGACCCTACTTATTTCTTTAGCCCAGATCTGCCTACTTGCAAAGATCAAGTGTAACTCAAAGATTTTCAGCCCACAAGTGTGGTATGCCCCTGGCTTATTGGCCCTGGTCTGGAACTGACTCTAGTATATAAGATACAATCTGAATCTTGATAACAAAAAGAATGGATCTTTCTGAAAATATTATGGTTCTTGCTCTTACTTTATAGAAAATGCAGAAAGCTTCCCAGTATTTAGAATGTAGGTATTATTCTTTCAGGTTTGAAAACTTGAATTCAAATTTTGCTTGTTGCTGCAGAGAAGGGAGAAAATCTCAAGGATGATGCTTCCCAAATATATAATTAAATCATGGTGTCATGCAGAGATGTTAGTTTGAATGACTGGTTAGGCTGACATCGATAGAAGCTGATTATAGGTGTCAGGCTTGTAGTCCATATAAGAAAACAGGAAGAATAACAACAGAGCACAAGGCAAGACATTTTAGAGTGTGTCAGAAGTATTAAGTGTCATAACGCTTACGCTTATTTGACCACAGCATTTTTATTCCTTTTGTGTATCATAACATCTGGGTTGACTTTATTAATATAGTTTATATCCATATTTTGCCATACCTGAATAAGACTCAAGAGCCACAGTACAATAAGTCATAATTAAACAATTTAAATTAAATGGCAGTGCTCCTTTTTTAAAAAAATGTGTTTAACGGACAAGCGTAAGTAGAAAATTGTAATCCTGTTATGTGAAAAGTTCTCAGATGCTACGACATTGTGTAAAGTTTGGAATTTTGTGCAGGAAAAAAAATCTTTCCAACATTATGTCTAGTCATGTTCCTTTTCCTCAGCCAGAGATCCTAGTTGCAGCTCTTTTTCCTTGTGGGCCATGATTTCATGTTAAAGAACAGGCTTTGATCTGGAAGCCTCTCCTCCAGTCTTCTCCAGGGACTGTTCTCGCCTTGCTTATTGATCTCTTGGAAGCACCTGAGTTACGAAATTTAGAGTGGAATAGATGTGCTCTATAGTAAGGCTGTGCTTGTTTGTTTTGGTTTTTTAAAAAAATCAAAATATAGAATTACCAAAAAAAAAAAAAAATCAAATTAGGAAAATATATAAATAGGAGAAGGAAAGAGAGCCAGGGCACCAAGGAATGGTGCAGGCAAGTAGCCTGGAATTGTAGAGATGGTGCCAGAAGAGAGAAAACTTGAGAGTTGAAATGAGTGAAAAAGGCACAGAGTAATGAAAATGGCTTTCTACAACATGTTCAGAATAAAAGCATCGGGATACCAATTGTTTGTTGAATAGCTCAAAATGCTAATAGGTAATAAAGAAAAGGTAAAGCTACTCAACTCCTATTTTGGTTCCGTCTTTTCCAAACAAAAAATAAGCATTCCACCAGGAAATTGTAATGAACAGGCAAGAATTGAAACGTGACCCTGATATAAAGATCTTTGTGGAATACCTCGTTATTTGAATGAGTTTAAATTTACAAGATGAGATGAATTGCATCCTAGGGTACTGAAGGAAGTAGGTTATAGTCTGGCTGCATCTTTATGTGCATCTGAGAAATTCCAGAAAACAGGTTAAGTGCTAGCTTACTGGGGGAACAGCAAATGTTCTTAGGGTTAGGGTTCTCATCTTCAAAAAGAGGAAAAAGGAAAATTCAGCCAACTACAAACCAAACAGTCTGACTTCAGTACCTGGGAAGATTTGAATGCAGATCATAAAGTGATGGATTTGTAAGCACCTTGAATACAATGCAGTAATTCCCAGAAATCTACATAAATTTGTCAAGAACAAATAATGCCAGGTTAGTCTTAATCTTATTTTTTTGATTAGGTAATTTCTTCTATTTTGATTCCCAAAGCATTTGACAAAATATCACATGACCTTATTGGCAAACTAGTTAAGAGTGGTTTGAATGGCATGACAATTAAGCGGAAACATAGATGTGTCAAGAATCACACTCAAAGAGTATTCATTAACAATTTCTCTTCACATTTTAGAGAGGTATTGAAGGATGTGTCAGAAATTCAGTCCTGAGCCCTCTATTGTTCAATATTTTAAATAATAACAATAGAAGAAGAAGAGGAAATACTTGGCAAATTTGCAAATGAGATAAAAATGGGTTGTCGTTATTTTCTTTAAAAGTTTTATATAATATTAAGCTGTGACAAAAATATCATTTTCCCAGAACTGCACTGGGACTAAGTAAGGATTGTTTGATTATGTGCCATCAAGTTGCTTTTGACTCCTAGTGACCATATAGATAGATTTTCTCCATGACAATCTATTCCTAACTGGTCTTTCAGGTCTTCCAACAGTTTACCCATCGCCACTGTAACGGAGTCCATCCACCTTGCTGCTGGTTGTCCTCTTCTATTTCCTCCCACTTTTCCCAGCATTAGAACCTTCTCCAGAGACCTAGATCTTCAAATAATGTGTCTGAAGTAGGATAATTTGAGTCTCCTTTTTTGGTATTGGACGGGAGTATGTATACACGTCCTAATATTTTCAGTTGAACCCATCTCCAGTCCAAATTTTAATTGGCAGTTGAACAAATGAATTAATTGATTGTTTAATTAAATTGTCAGTGGCTTTTTCTCCTTGACTTGGCAACTGTAGGTTTATTTGAAAATATTATTAAATATGTAATACTACAGTAATAGGTACAGAAAAAGGATGAGAGCAGAACAGTTTGCATTGCTCAATTAGTATTGCTCTGAGAATACAACTGTTTGAACTGAATTTCATTGGAAACAATTCGCATTCTGACAAACTAGTGCTCCTCCAACTCAGTGATCATCTGCTCATTTGATTATTGCTGGTTATTATGTGTAGTGCTGTTGTAATATTATCGTTAAAGTTTGCATTGTGAATCAGGAGCTCCCATTCTAGTGTCATTTCTGCTTTGGATGTCTTAATTTGCCTTACTTGAATTTGAAAACACTTGGTTTCATCTCTTTTTCCTTTGTGCATTTATTCAGTAGAGAGATAATATTGGCTTACCTTTTTGTGTTGCTTATAGGATTATATATCTGTAGTGCTTTGCAGTATAATGCATATTTGCGCATAGCATATATGATCTAAATGCCAAGTATGAACAATACCTCCCAATACCTTAATCTGAAAAAGCAAATAAAATAAAGCATTTCGTTTATTATCTAGTTCACTGGAAAAAGTCCATTGTCTTTTCACACCTAATTACAGTCTGTGGGTCAGCATATGAATTATATATATAATTATAAATTGAAATAGATACACATTTTATGAGAATGGAAAAGATTGTGGCCATGTGATCTGATGCCTGCTTAACTGCTGTCAAGTTCCTAGCTGCAGTTAGATACCACCCTTATTATCCCCTTTACATCTTTGCTGTCTTTAAAATGAACATGAACCCAACAACTCTTCTTGCAGAGGACTGTTGTCCCCAAAATACACCTGTCACCACAGCTGGTTACAGGACACAGTCTTGTTTTAAGGTTGTTTGATTAACACAATGGATGCCAGGAATCATTGTTCTATAACAAATGATGGCTAGATCCCCACATTCACCCAAGAAAAATATCAGAAGCCAGTTTAGCTCAGTCATTCTATGGGGCTTTCTCCTCAGAATTCATTTCTCCTCCTTCTACCCTGATCTAAGGCTGACAAGGGGAAATGTGTAGCAAAACAAAACATCTAAATAATCTAGTCTGTTTTTTATACTATTTATCAGAGATGAGAACTCCAGACTATAGTACTTTTACACATAGATTCCTCTGCAGGGAATCCTACAGTTGTCTCAGATTACAATGACTATTTGTGCTACAAGATAATTTTTGTTGCATTTGTCATTAACCCATAAATTGAATTAGTAATGTTCACTGCAGTGGGGGTGGAGGGATTATAAAAAATTGATCCGGGTTAATATCATTTGTTGTTGTGTCTCACATTTTGCTTAATTTCAGCAGCCACTGCTCCTGATTGCTTAGATGCTGGTGGAGAAGAACTTTTCTATGATATATATTGCAACATTTTTATTGCATTTCACAGGTCCTCCAGTAAACGTTACTTGCAATATTTTTATCAACAGTTTTGGATCAGTCACAGAAACCACAATGGTAAGTGCGGCAATGCCACCGCCACTGAAACACCTATCCTTGATATATGTCATAAACACAAACTGTCATTTTTTTTTTCTATTTATTATTCAACTTGCAGGTCCTCCTGTAAATGTTACCTGCAACATATTTATCAACAGCTTTGGTTCAATAGCTGAAACTACAATGGTGAGTGAGGATGACCATTGAAGCCATCTTGAGAAGGAGAGGCATGTGCTGTTGATCTGAGATCTCCTGCATGTGGAGGTCTCAGATGTGAGGGTGACCAACAGTGTATACTATTGTCTTTCAGGCAAATCTAAACAGTTATTTTCAGGGGGAAAACTTGTGAGGTGATTTCCCCCCCCCCCCTTCCCTGGCATTCAAATTACAGCAATAAATTAAAGTATGGTGAGCCTACACAAATATCAGTTTTACAAGGCAGAATAAAAATGTAATAAACAAACAACATTTCATGAAGATCAAAATGAGCCAATTGAGGCAGTTGTCTTTCTTATATTCCCTACTGGTAAGGCAGGCCCCATGGCTTTAACTCTGCATGAAGAATGGGGCAAATAATAGTTTTTGCTTACATCGACAATGGCCAACTGTTTCGGCAACTGTATCACAAATCAACCCAGAATATAGGAGAACACTATTAGTTACCTATTGGGCTCTTCCATCTACTGAGGTATGTTTTTACCTCTTAGTTTAGTGGGATGGACTACGATAGCAGCATCTTATGGGAGAAACAACTGAGGGTGCAGGGTAAACCTGACGCATTAGGGCTGTCCTGCTTTTACTCACATACAACTGGTGAGAAATGCAACATTGTTTATTCAAGTTAGACCATTTGTGACTTGAATCTTATGGAGATAAAGTGTCAACTTTATTCCTTTGGGAGGAAAATGCCATGAAAGTCACTCAAAAATCTAGACTCCAAAGCAAGGGGAGCATATACTGAAACAGCAGTGTTAGAAACAAGGCCAAGAGGTTGCTTCCAGCCCACATTCAGTGGCTGATTAACAAGATGATATGGAAGCTGGCAGTTTTACTTTTCTTTCCTTTTCTTTCTCACATATATTATAGCCACATAGGCAGAATATGCAGAAATAATAGAAGATAGACTCCTTCTTCAAATCCATCTGTACTTCACGTCATCATGGATCTTTATTAATTTTTTGCTCTGTTTGAGAAAAGAAAAATAAAATTGGGACATGGAATGGCAGTCCATTTAGCATTTTAGCCCATTTAGCACAAAACCAGCTCCTCTGATAATGTGCCACCATATACCCTGGTAAGTCTGTAACTGGGAAAGAGGATTATGAGATGGTTTGTGTTACAGGAACAGAGCTTCTATGTGCCCAGAATGGAGACAAATCTGAGATATTCTCATGTGTCTCTGAAAAGCAGCAGTCATCCTTCAGCTCACATTTCTTAAAAAGAAAAACAATAGTGTTGTCCCTCTAATATTCCATGGCAATGATAAGTCCAGCCCCGTGTTAGCTTTTTTTTTTTTTTTTTAATGGATCATATTATTTAAATTCAACCACACCTTGGAATTCACAAATTAGCCACACTGTTATATTTAATACACCAAGCATGAGTCTGCGAGCAGGTTCAGCTAAATATAATACGTTACAGATCATGTTCTTCAATTAGTGTGTGAGATTAGCTCCTGCTTTTAAGGGCTAGATTAAGCAGCATTTCGGGGGGTTTTTTTAAAAATACTTTTAGGATTTTTGCCACTCTGGGACAAAAGCAGAACACTTCTCTACATTTTACATGTCATCCCCTGATGACATCAGCAGTCTGCAGCTTTGTACTTAGCAAGCGTGTGCTTACAGTGTTGCATTCTGCCCTGTTTTCATACTTTACCATACAACCCTATGCAGAAAACCAGTTGGAACAAAGATCCTTTTTGCCTGAATTCTCCAATCCTTCTCAGAAAAGATATGTTGATATCCTTAATTTCTAAGTAAGGAAAGATTCTGTTAGGAAAGTCCTAGTCTTTACAAGATGGCATTCAATGATGATATTTGCACGAACTAATGCTGATTGCATTAATCAGACTCCTCCATTGCATTTTATTGTTTCTATAATATATTAATGTGCATCTATTGTGGGTTTATTACTGCTTTTCAGCTAACAAAAAAAGAGCTAAATAGTGGAGTAGCTTCAAACAAAAACTATCGGCTGCCTCATTTGCTAAATCATTGTATACCTGCTGACAGTGTCAAAGGAGATCTATGCTGTTCAGATGTCTGTTGCTGACTTTCTTAAAGCTGAGATCTCACAAAAGAATATCTTTGAAACAGATTGAAGGAATGCTCGTAAAGACAGACATCAGCTACTACTCATCCGCTTTGCTTTATAAAGTCAATCTAATGATATGATAAGCAGTGTTGTGATATAATGAAATGCTGACTTTTCTGGGACTTCCAGAAGTTGTTCTGCTGAGTATCCATCAATATTTGCCTAGGTGTTTGAATGTGGCTGGATGTTTATGACAACCTAAATGAAGTTAAAGTGGGAAGTGAATGTCAAATTGAAGGTTACTCATTGTGTGTTGATATAAACCCACTTCTTAATATGGAATTCTGTTTCTGGCAAGAAAAAAAATCCCCCCCACCTCGAAACTTCCTTTTTGACTCTCACTTTCATCTGAGATGGGTTTAAAAAATATAAATGTATGTGACTTTAAAAGCTTAAATTGCTCATTATCTGCAATTTTAAGTTTAAAAAATCTTTCTGTTTCTAAAGTTATTACCTTGAAATTTCAGAAATTGGGCTTGTTATATATTTATATATACATTCACATTTTGAATTAATGCACCCGGCTTTTTTTGTGGCATTTTCATTTTCATCCCTGCCTTTTTGTTCTCACTCCAAATGCTTGGCAAGATGACAAGTATTTCCACATTTTTGTGTCACTATTTTTTATGTTAAGGATTTTTTTTTTGAGGCACAAAGCCAAGATTTGTTAGATCGACAGCTATTAAAATAACATGCTGCTACATTTTAACACAGTGCCAGGACTGAGCATTTCCAAAGATACCAAAATTATAAATCAATATCTTATACAGCTTTAAGAGGTTATATCTATCTGGCTTTAAGCATTTTATATATGTATGTATGCATGTTGTCAAGGAGTTCAGGAGTTCAGCTTACTTTATCTCATTTCTTTTAAAAGTCTTCTTTTACTGGTATAATAATTTGCCAGGCAGATATTCCAAAATAATTAAATAATGTTGCCATTTAATTTAACACCTTGTAAAACATCCTTGCTTTGGACACACACACACGCAAATACACACACAGATATATATTCTATTTTAAGCACATTAAGTAGATTTGCTACCAGAAAATATAGTATCTAAGTATATAATCTTACTCTCTAAGTAAATAGACTATATTCTTAGTCTTAGATACTAGAGCATCTAGCAGGAGAGTACCTTATATGATAAAGTATAATCCTCAAACCATATAAGTCCAGTGATCCTTCTAATTGTACCCTTTTAATTCTTTCCCCACACTCCTAGTCCACTGTGTGAGAGAGAAGAGTTGGGATCCCCTTTCTACCATATGTCTGAAAGCATGTCCCATGTGTCAGTGTTGAAAATCCATAGTTGGGAGCTGGTTATACTTGTGAAAACGCTCCATGTGCTTTAGGATATTAATGGTATATGAAAACCTCTGTATGAAGTGCTGACTCCCTTATTACATAGATCCAAGCTTGATATATGGAGGATGATAGGATTTGGCAAGGGCTGAACATCCACAATGGGAGATGGCTGTACTTGGGAAGACTTCTTGCTTGCTTTCGAATGCTGATTGCCTATGTTTGTAGTTGCATGGAGACCAATAAACAAATGGCTCTTGCACAGTAGACTTTTTAGTTCCAGTGACTGGCCAACCTGGCCATCAGGAGCCTGACAGTAGGCACAGGGAAAGGTAGCACGTTCTTTTTCTTTCCCCAAATAATGGGTAACACGTGAGAAGGACTATTTATAGAAGGGTTATGCCAAAGTGCACACTTGGTTAATCTGGGGCTTTTGTGGGTGTTTGAAAAAGGTACTCCTGACTTGTGAATATAGCAAGGGTACCTACAGAAAATCCCTTTTCAGCCCAACTTTGTCAGGTTGTGTCAATGTTCACCCTCCAGTCTGTTATTTAGGAGAGGAGGAAAGAGTGTAATTTGCAGGAATGGCATTTAAGATCTACACACATTGTGGTTGGTGGTTCTAATAAATAAATATAAATAAATAAAGGCTAATAAAATTTTTAAATGCTTAAGATTGCAATCCCGCTTATGTGAGAGTAAGCTCCCATGAATTAGACATGAGAACCATATGTAAGACTATATGCTATTAATTTCAATGATTTTCTAAATATGTTCTCAGTGATTAAAAATGATTCTCTTTTAAAGCTACTTCTAGAACCTCCCTTTTCTGTTTGCCTGAGACAAATTTGATCACCCAGGTTAAAACTTGATGTGTCTACTGCTAAGCATAAATGCCAGACAACAGTGAGAATAATTAATATAGAATTTTATGTATGAAACATCCAGTCATTGTTCCACTTTCTCCAGTGGAAAGCATCCTTGCTGAGGATGGATTTCATTTAATGCCACCCTAAAAAAATAAAACTTCAGGGCTTCGTGATATCTGTTTGACTCAAGTAGTTATCTGCGATTTTAAACCCCCCCCCCATAAATTTCAGTGTTTAACCATCCCTGGATTATGCCCACATTATGCTGACATATTGCCTGTGATATATTCAGGAAGATCTAGACAGAGCCTTGTCCCAAAAAGCTTTTCACCCAAGCTCTACCAGATGCTATGATGGTTTCAGCTTGTACATAAGTTTATTCTTAGGAACTGCTGGGATAACAAAACAATCTTTACTCACATTTCATTTTAGGATTTTGCAAATTGTTGAAGGTTAAAACATTTGGGGAAGAGATTTTACAATCAGCAAAGAATATGATGGCCCAGAAAATTCTATTTTGCGCTGTATTC